TGTGACCTTTTCTTGGTTTTGTTGCTTATTTCAAAGGCCAACGCTGACTTCCAGTTCGATGAAATGCTGACAGAAGCGGCTCGGCTTGCATAGAGGAACTCGTTTCAAATTGGATTTCCATAGAAAACAACGAATGGTATATAAAACCCGGTAGTGATTTCAAAAAAAGCCCCCTCCGGTTCCTTCAAGGCACTCGATAAAAAGGACGTTGAACAGTCAAACGAGGGCATGCCGGCAACCGTTTTGGCACGAGAACGATTGGCGTACTTGGCTAAATAGGAGAAACGGCGGCGGCTTGGTTGCCGTGTCCTCACGCGCTCCGGTGGCGCCTGGGAACATTTGGAATCGTTCTTGCCGCAATCACCAAAGCCAAGCGTCATCGGGCTTTGGAAGGCCTCGAAGCCCACGCGAGTTGAACAGCTCCCGTTTCAATGCGCGACACGTGGCGGAAGGCGGCCCCTTAATGTCCGCGAAGGTGGTCCAGCTGGGTGTAAACGTTCTCCGCCCGGCTGAGTTCTTCAAACACGGGTAAAAGGTTGAGGAGTTCGGCGTCATCCACGTCGTCGAACCACGACAGCACGGGCACCTGAGGACCACGCACACGCGCGTCACCAAGAGCAGCGGCCCGGACGGGAAACGCGGCCGCGCGTATCTGTCCGACAAAGTCGCGTGGGACCTCAATTCATCGTACGCGGTGGCAGTCGCTCAAATCAACGTCCCTAAGCGCTGGAGGGGGGCGGTGGGGTCTCTTGGAGCGCCAGCGGCATCAGTTTCAAACGGTACACATGAGCGACTGGAGCATAAAGTGATGCTTCTGCACTTAAGCTGCTCCAAAAGCGCGTGACTGCCTCCTTGCGTCACGTCTCCCACTAAGGTGGGCAGGGATTCCCTTCTGCAAACTCAGTCTTGTCTCGTACGTTCACATTAGGGTCCACGACGGCCGGTCGGGCACCCCTCCTCCTCTCAACCGCAATTTGTTGCTTATTTTGACCATTTTCCATCGTATGCAAATAAATGGGCACGTTTGGTGGTCGTGTTCCGAGTACGTTATGGAAGGGGCGGGGGAATGGTGCTTGAACCGTGAACTCACAGCATTGTCGGGGTGAAAGATGTAGGACGCGGGAGAATTGTCCAAGATGAGCGTCTTGCGAAGGTCTCGGCCCAGCCGGCTCAAATCTTTCACGTAGCAGCCTTGGTGGAAGACGCACGACTCCCGGAAGAGGCGGGCCCGGAACACGCTGTACTGGTCCAGCAGATCCGTCACGGGGTCGGCGTACTGGCGGAGAGTTGGCGAGAAGAAGCCGCAACGCGCGCTGAGTGACGTCGCACCCGAGTCAGCGTTAGCCACAGACGAGAGAGGCTTCGCATTCGTTGGAGAGTTAAGCTCGCCAAAGTTAGCGGCCGCTGAAATCGCCCTGACCACTGCTTGAGTTTTCAACCACCTGGACTGGGCGGGGCGCAACCTTTTTCGTTTGGTTGGGACTTTCATGGACGAATACGCCAAAACTAATCAAGTCCGACAAAATTGAGCCAACTGTACTTTCGGACTTGCCAAAGTCGAAACAATTCAAGGCGCTGTGACGCGATGCCATTGAACGGAGTGATTCTTTTGCGTGGCGCCAGAGGGAGAACGCATATCGCGTTGCGAGCGCACCCCCCACCCAATGAGGCTCGCCATCTGAAGGTGGCACGTTTGCCGCCGGGTACCTTGGCCAAACTGGCGGTGAACAGCACGCACTCAAACAGCTCTCCCATTCGCCGCAGGAACTCGTCGACGTACGGCCTCTTGAGCACGTACACCTGCCGACGCATCGGGGAAAAAAACAAAAAACAAATACATCACTTCTTTCCGCCGCTCCTTTCCGGCTGATCTGCGAGGGAAGCTTTGGAAACAAAAGATCGCGAAGCCCGGCGGTGTCAACGCGGCGTCGTTTGACTCGCGACATTGCGCCTCGCGAGCCTGCCTGCCTGCGTGGGGGGGTATCATTTGAGCGATCGCTCCGTCTTGAAAAAGTACCTGCAAAGGGCTTTCAGGAATAACAAATATTGGCATCAGCCTTCTTTAAAAAAAAAAACATCCAATAGGAAATCAATTGAAAACTGCGTTCACTTGAGGGAAGTCCTTATTTCAAATGTGAGTGAAGTTGATAAGCGCTGCCCGTTTCCTTTTGGTTTGAAATCCAAAGAAAGATGAGTGAAAGTTGAACATTGGAGATATTTAGAAATGTCATCGACTGCAGAAAACATGAGAGAGCTATTTGCAATATTTGTTGAAGTTTTCATTGAACGCTTCGAGCCATGCCGCCGCTGAGCCTGGCGGCTCCCTCAGCTCGCGAGCTAGAAGATATCTATTGTCCTCCATTTAGTCAAAAAAAAAAAAAAAAAACCCTCAAATCTGAAAGGCTGTTCAATCAAGACATCTGAACAAAGTTAGGAATTGGTGCTCGTATTTTTTACGGCGCCGATATCCTGCCATCTGGACTGAAACTGGATCTTGGCTCCGAATCGTGGGCGATGAGCCGCTATCTGGATTGACCCTCCTTCCCCGCCGCGCCGATAAAGTCCGCCCGATCCACCCGACAGGCAGGACTATTCGTCCGCTTTGTACTCGGCGGTTCAGGCAGCACGTGCACAACAACTTCTTGGCATTTCATTTTGTTACCGCCGAGGACGGGAGGGAAAATACATCCGAGTCAGTCACGCAGCGGGCGCAGGCAACGTCAGAGGTGACGGAAATCCACAAAAAGTCTCCCTCGGGTACCGCAACAACGTCTCCGCAGTCCACGGCACGGCACGGCCGGATGCGGCGAGACAAAATGCAAAGGAGGCGGCCGCGTGTCATTCGAGTACGTTCCCGTAGCTGGGCGCGAATGCCCGTGCGAATGCCCGCCTGCGCCCTACGACCGGGCGGCTCCGGCCCATCCGTGACCCTCATGAGGAGAAGCGCTCCGGAAAAGGGAAGCCCCGGTCGGCCGCCAACGGCCCCTTCCTGAAACAAGTAATCAAGAACAGGCCGGGCCGGCGTAAAGCAGCCTATCCTGGATTACTTGAACCAGGCAGAGGCCCGCACGCACCGGGCGACGCCTCGGCGGCACCGTCTCCCGCCGCTCGGCTCCCTTCCCGCCGTCGGGCCTTGTTCGGAATCCGGCCAGCAGGGGGCTCCGCCGCACGGGCCGCCGGCTGCAAACTCATCCGCAAGCGCGCGCGCGGCCGGCCGCTTACCTGGTGCGTGGTCCCCTCGATCTCCACGGGCACGATGAAGTCCGCGTTGCTGATCGGCTGCGGTGGAAACAGAGACGGCGGATGTTCGTTTAGCGCGTGCGCCGGGGCTCCGCGCTCGCACCCGTACGCGCGCATGACCTTACGCAAGCCATCACTCACGTGCCGTAACTGCCGCTGCTGGAAATATTCGACGGCGGGCCGCACGCACATACATGGTCATTCGAGAAACGCGAGAGAAGGTGATGGGGGGGGGGGGGGAAACTTCAAAATATTGAAACAAATGTCAAAAATACGAACATGCGAATGGGCGGTGGCCAAAGCGCACGCGTGCAGGAGAACAAAAGGAAGGAAGGAAGGAAGGGCGGGCCGGTCGGCGGGGGCCCACCTTGAAGGAGCTGTGCACCAGCGTCTCGTCCAGATCGATGACCACGCAGATCTTGCCTTGGTCGCGGGCGGTCACCCGGGGCAGGAGGCCGGCGTCGCACAACTGACGACACACAGACGGCTTTCAGCGCACCTCTCGGCCATTTGACGCCAGCGTGTGTTCAGAGACCCAAGAAGTCCGTTCAAAACGACAACAACAACATTCGACGAAATCAATCACGGCGCACGAAACGAACACGGCAACAACTGCGGAGGCGGCACCAACAGCAACCTTTCATGTCGACTACGGGGCCGTAAAATGGCACCAGGAAGCACACAAATGGCCCCCGGGCCTCAAGTTTGATTTCCACTTGGGTCCCTGTTTTTTCTCCCCCCACGAGAATTATTTGTCATGCAACAAAAGTAAGAAAAAAAACCCCAAACAAACATGACAGTTGAAAGACCCGAAATGTTTTTTTCTAAATTGGATGCGCGCTGCCATTTGTGCCCGGCACAGCTTGCTAAAGTCTTTGACTTTGCCTCGTTGCACGTTGTCATTTTGGGTCCAAGGTGGCCCCCGTGCGCGCAACGCGACTCCAATCGCCACCCAAAACACACGACTGAACGGATGCTTTGTGCTTTTCAGAGAAACCGATCATCAACCAAATCGATGACTGCCATCGATATCGGAGAGCCGAGAACAGATCGATTTCAAAGTGATTCGACTTCAGGGAATTGGACAGATTGATTAAAAAAAAAACACACACACACAACCGTGACAAATTGTTCCCCAAAAAGCGAGCTTTTGTCCCCTCGGCCTTTCAGTGGCCCTGACCTTTGGGAAAACTATTCTGGCCTTTGATGCGGTTAAAGGTATTGACCCCAAAGTTTTGCAATTTGAACTTTTCAGATGTGTTCCCTTGACCTGCAAAGTTCTCCGGGCCACCGCTGACCTTTGGAGCTGATTTTCATTTACAGGTCGAGGGAAGAGAGAGCGGCGTGGAAATTTGGAAAAATAGCAAAGTTGAGGCCACGTGAGCGCAATTGACTGGCAGGCATTTACGGCCATCCATCAATCACATCGGCGAGGCGGGAATCGTTTCTCCGTCGCGGCTTTCCGCCAGGCCGACGTGAACTATTCTCAGGTTACGTCCGGTGCGCATCAAGGGCGACGCCGCCGCCTCCTTTCTCGGGCTCAACGAGGAGCCGGCGCCGCCCGGCGAGCGCACGCTACGCCCGCGCGTCGCCTGACGTTTCGCACCCGTTCAAGATCCGACGGGCCGAGGCGGCTCGCGAGAGCGTTTCTTGTCCCGTTTACCTTGGCGAGCGCCCCATTTTCCTGCGCCTCCAGCAAGGCCTGCTGGGAAGGGGGCGGCGGCGGCGGCGGATGTTTGGGCCCATCCGGAGCTCGCAGGCAGCAGAAGAGCGCTTTGAAGAGGTTACAACTCCGAGGCTGCTTCAGGGCCGAGCGGCTCACCTGGCCTGCCGCGCGTGCACACGCAAAACAGAGACAAGCGCTCAGCTGGCATGCCGGGAAACTTCATTCGCGTCGTCCGTCGCTCAGAGCGAGTTTGACAAAAACTTCAACAACCGCGCACACGCGCGCGCCTCACATTTTTCTTCATTGAGGCCCGAGGCCGCACGCGGTTGCTTTTTGTCTTTCTACGTACGGCCCAGGAAACCAAGAAAGACTCCAGCCATCCAGCTTCCTTCTCGATGAGGGCAGCCGGACAAAGACCAATCCAACGATAGACACTCAGTTGAGGAATTTTCACCAAGAGATGCCCGCTTTGACTTTGGGACACGTTGACCCCCCCCCCCCCCCCTCCTAAAACAGGAGGTCACTTCAAGATTTGAAAGCAAATCTTCAAATGAACTGCACAGAGAGCCAGTGGAGGGGGGCCAGAGGTGGACTTGGGTGCTCCCCCTGACGAGCAACGCCAGCAACATTTCCAGAAAGAAAACAGCAAGGCAACATCATCAGCTGTCATTTTGGCAGAATCGATTAACGCCTTGATTATTTGTCCAACTCACGGTGCGTCTGCGTGCGCGTATCGAGCCGGATCGATCGATAGCTCGATAGATCCGTAACCCGGTTTGTGACTTTTGCAAAGAGGAGCATTCGCGGTCCGTCTGCGCGCAGGATCGGGCGGCAGGCCCGCATGAAATCCGCTCGAATGCCGCCGCTGGAAATGGCCGGCGCAGGGGTTATATAATCGCGCGGGCAGGGCGGGAAAACGCACGCACGCTCGCTCGCTCGCTCGCTTCACGGCGCTGACAGAAAACATTCCGAGGCCGCCCGGCGCCGGGACGGGCCGTCCCTCGGTCTCACCCCCGCGCGCGATGCGGCTCGGAGTTTCGTTCGGCGGACGGGCCGAAAGTCACAACGACGCGGGGCACGGCGCGCCCGCGACGTGGAGCCTGCCGTCGAGCTTCCCAGGAACAGGAACGGATGAGAAAAGGCCCAAAAGTCCCAAAGGCGGCACTATCGAGACGTACCGCGCCGTTACCCGCTCGAAGAGACAAACGACATTTGTTGATTCGCACACCCAAACAAAAGCCCCTCAAGGGCTCCCCCCACTCACAAGCACGCGCAGGCGGATTATTATTTTTTTTCCAATTGACGATTTGGGACGCGATCTGCTGATTGATCCAATCTCCGAAAGCAACTTCATTGATTTAATAGTATATTTTATTTTTGGGCGTGTGCGGGTAGGGCCCGGGGTGGCGGA